TTTGACGTCATAGTTCTTAACTTGTAGCCTGAAACTATACTTTAAGACTGAGCCAGTTAGCTAGCATGTAGCTAAGCTGGACGTTAAAGACAAATCCAGATGGGTTGCACAGAAGATGGTAGTTGTTGCACTAGAAAAGATTAGTGCAAGAAGGTGTGCTTATTTAAAAAAAAGTGCTATAAATGCACTATAAAGTGCAGTATAAGTGTTATAAAGTGCTCTGGCGGAGATGAGTGGCAGCTAAGGCGATCACGATTTACCCACCGTGATCTTGTGCTGTGTCAACTGCCTCGTTTAGCTTCTTCTGCTGTTTCATACACACACCTGAAGGCAGCAGAACCATCAGAGCATGAGTGGAACATCCTGCTGCATTAATACACTTTCTAACATTGGTGCTATTATAACTTACCAGTTCGAGTGGAGTCAAACACCAGTCCAGTGTGGGGACTAATGAATTGCTGCAACAACTTGACATTCTGCAAGAAAATGATACACTTTTTACACATGAAGAGCTGAGAGGACCATAGCAGAGTAACAGTATCTACTCATTTGTATGAGGGGGACCACTGTCCTACAAAATGAGCTCCAGCAGCAGCTGCTGTGCAGGGCTATGACCGAACTGTCATAAAGACACTCTGATCATTCATTACTGAGAGGAGTAGCTGACAAAATGTTCTCGTTCTGCTTTGTTCTTTTCATTAGTGTCAAAAAAAATGAAAGAACTGATCTGCAGATAAATCAGACGTGCAATTTATTTTTGCAAACCACGTCCATGAAATCTGTTGGGTTGAAACGCAGTGTTTTGGCAGCAAGTGACTGATGATGTATAAGAAACTACAGCTGATATTGGCCTGTCGCTGATACGCGCCAAGATAAAAACTGTTCACATCATAAGAACAATGTTATTTATTTTAAAAAATAAAATCTGGCCCAAAAGCTCCGGCTCGATACAGAAAAGTCGTTAGTTGGTGTGTGTGAGACCAACATAACCCACCTGATGGTGAATGATGATGTTTGGATCACGACAAATTGGGCAGGGGTTCCCACATATCTTGTCACCTCTCTAGAGACAGAAGTGCGCTGGTTATTTATCAATCTTAACA